AGGCACCCCCCCTGCATGAACAGCCCCACCGGGGACACCGCCTGAGCAGCACCTGAACGTCTTCCCTTGTTCTGAAATGAAAACAATTCATGTGGGCTAAAAGAATAATTAGTATTTAAACCTTTCCTCCTGTGTGCACGGGGTCTGGCTGCGCTGGTTTCCTCACGGGGCAGGGCTCTGTGTGGGGAGTCAGAGGGGTGCTGGTGACACCCGTGTTGTGAGCACTGAGCGGTGCTCACGCAGCACTGAGGCTCAGTGGGACTGGGGGGGACAGGGGCTTGGGAGAACCGAACCAGGACAGCTGACCTGAACTGACCAAAGGGATGGTCCACAGGGTATCACATCAGCTCAACTATAAAGCTGGTATAAAGGGGGGGAGGGGGCTACTGCGTGGTCCTCCGGAGCAACCACTGAGTGTTTTGGAGCCCTGCTGCCCAGGAAGGGGCCAGACATCACCTGGGGATGGGAAGCAGAAAATAAATTTTTGGTTGCTTTTCCTTCGCTTCCGCACGCAGCATTTCTTGGCTTTGCTTTCTAATTAAACTGCCCTTGGTTTTACTCACAAGGGTTTTGTCTCCATCTTATTTTCCTTTCCCCTTTTGCTCTGTGGAGGAAGGAGAGGGGGAGGGTGACAAAGCAGCTTGGTGGGCATCACTTGCTCAGCCAGGGTTAACCCACCACACTCTGGCACCACAAAACCCATCAGCCACAGCCCCTGCAGCAACTTATGAAAGAAAAGGTACAACAGAATGCTAGAGAAATAGAAGGTTTAATTTCATTATTTCACTTATTACAATAAACTTCAGTACAGTGTGTTTAAGGTAAAGAACACAACAATACGGTTGTTTTAAACAGCCTATACACACAGACTACTTTACCTTCCTGGAAGTAAGTACAGGAGTGCTGCTTCCCAAAAACCCGCCGGAGTCTACAACAGGGTCGACAGAAGAGCGGAGCTGCCATGCCCACAGTGACAGGGACCTACGAGGAGTATCTGACTATTAATGGGCTTCAAACATCTTGTTAGTTCCACACTTTACATTCATATTAGTAATAGGATTAGATCCTCAGGAGCACCTGTTTTATCAGACTTCAACTCAGGACTGTCCAAGCACAGATCTCATTTACAGCCTAACATAATGCAGACACAGCCAAAAAGAAAGCCAAGCCACAAATCTCTTATTTTAAGCTTGCTTTTTCAAGCCCCTTGAAGGCTACAACAGATGATTCCAAGGTTGTGTCAAAAACAACCTAAAAAGTTGCAATTCTCTGTGACTCTGTTTGTCAGCAGTGATCAGTGACCATTCCATGACACAGGCTGAGCCAACAGTTCTGATGTTAAGAGTGACTGTAATGGAGAAAAATTATATTGCAATAGTAGAGCAGGATGCTTGGCACAGTTATTCATAACACATGCTATTGGCTTGTTTTCTTTGTTTCTGGAGTGGTATCCTACTATGTGCAAGACAGTCATTAAAAATACACACAGACCTGGCACAGGAGGAGAGTATTTGGGGAGTTCCAAGATATTTACATGTATGGCACCTAAACATTACTACAACAACTGCCAAGTGCTAGCCAGGATGTGTCCTACCCCAGCAGTACTTTGAGCAGAAAGACAGGACAGGACACATGCACTCTGTGGGTACGGGGGTGTGGCTGCCACGGGGGCAGGAGAAACCCCACTGGATGTTCCTTTGCGTTGGCAAGGCCAGGAGGCAGCCTTCAAATACTTCTTGAATACACACTAGGATCTTGCTGACATTCAACCAGCCACTGTAACACCTGAAAGAACTCCCAGGCTCAGTTTAAGAACACCCAGCAAGCTGCAGCAGGCAAGGGCCACAGGGAGCTTGTTACACGACTCGGGGGTTAGCGGGCTAACAGTAATGCAGCTCTCTGATCTCCCCATGCTCCAGTGGTTAGACCTGTCCCTTAAAAACCATGCACCATGCAGTTGGTCCACTTAAAGTCAAGTCTACAGAAAAACCCCAACTACTGAAAAATCCCACAGAATGGGCACAGCAGCCAGAGCAAAGCTGTCTGCTGGCAGTGCCCGTGCCCCAGCACGCACGGAGTGCAGGGGGACACAGACACAGCCCGGGGGGAACGTCTCCAGAGATCCACAGGGCTTGTACAGCAGCCCAAAGCTCTCGTGGTAAGTGCAGGGTCGATCTTGCTTAGAAAAAGGACTGCAAGAAGTCGGCTCTTGTGTCTGTGCTGCCATGCATGAAACCGTTCAGCTGCTGCTCTGCCTGAAACCATCACCCTGGCACCTGTCCCTGCAAAGCGCCCAGGGCTGGCAGCAGAGCACACAGACAGGCTGGCACAGCTCTGGTGCCCGACACCCACCACCCTCCCACTGCCCCAGCAAGCTCAGCAGCTCAGCTGGTGGGACAGGGCACCTCATGCTGCCCAGCTGCTCTGTGCAAAGGCTGCTGAAGTGTCTTCCACCAGCTCCCACAGTTCTCACTTAAATCAATGGATTTAGTACTAAAGCTGTGAGGCTTTTTGACACTTCTCTTGACAAACCCTGCTGCAGGGACAGCCATTCTTGACTACTCCAGCCAAACCAGCAGGACTTCACGGGCCAAACTCCACCATTAGTCCCTTGCTTAGAAGCCTGCATGAGCTGGTTGGGAGCAGCCACTTCTGAACACCAGCCTCAAACCCAACCCAGCTTTCTCCTGCTCTCCTCCCCTGCACTAGGCAGCACTGCACAATTTAACCTGCCCTAGCAATCCAACAGGCAAATCAACTACAACAGTTACCACGGATGAATAAATTGAGACTAAACTGTTATGATTTTCAAGGTTTGTAGTGGTGGTGTTGGTTTGTTTGTTTGTTTTTTTAACTAAGGTTAGATATTCTGTTACAAAATGACAAGTTATTGATATCAAAAGTGGCAGGTGAACTGCAAAGTGGAGCGTTAGGGGATGCAGACATCAGAGAAATCTTTACATACTATGTGGCTGAAAAACTTACCCAGTGTTTCAGATATGACCTAGGTTGCCTGCTGCATTGGAAAATGAGAAGTATCAGCTCAGAAAGCTAAACAAAAAAAAAAAGGAAAAAAAAAACAAACACAAAACAAAGAAACAAAAAAACAACCAGACTGTTTAGAAACTCTTAGCAGAGAAGTTGCCCACATCAAAACACATCGAACCCACCAGCAAAGCATCACATGAACTAAAGACAGCAAACAGCTCCTGCAGCCACGTCTGTGTACACAACCTGGAACACCCGGGTCACTCCTCCCCTCCCCTCCCCCAGGATCCTGAGTTAGGTTGCATGTGAAAACCTGGAACACTCACACGAAGGGAAGGATGGGGAAGAAAAGGAGCTGGGGAGGATGTACCGAGTCCAGCAGTAACCTGGCCAGTCCTGGAGCTGCTGGTCCAGGGAGGAGTGTTCCGTGGGACAGGTCACTGAGAGGTGCTGACTCTCCAAAGGAACATCCCCGGCTCTGTTCCCTGGGACCCCACAGTAAGCAAAGCTGAGCCAGCCAGGGCACCAGGTGATGTAGAACCACCTCTGAATGCCAGAAGGTATTTAAGTCAGCTTAAATATTATTGCCAGAGAACGTGGGGAAACAGAAATATCTGGAGAGTCTGAGAAGTCCCCGATCTCCCAACGCCAAGTGCTGATCTGTGAGGGAGCACTGCAGCACAGCTACCACCACCAAAGGCAAAGGGCACTGATTGTCACAGGCAGGCTGAAAAGGGCTCCTGGGGCTTCTTCTAACCACTTTTCACTAGAATTAAACATGTGCAACATTTGAGAAAGGATCTATGAGTACCTCAGGTTTCAATCCATTACCCTGAAACTATCTCCTTCTCACTAACCTCCACTGGCAGAAGTGAAGAGTCAGTGTTAGTGGGTGGCTACTTCGCTGGTTCTCACCCTTTCATCAGGCTGATTCTTGACCCAAATTTCTAAGGAAGCTGTCAAAGACAAACTCAAAGCATCTTCACATACACCACCTGAAAAAAACCTGCTGCTTCAAGTCCTGTTTTACCAAGTGTCTTGTGTTCTATCAATCACCCATTTACAAACTCTGCAGCCTCTCTACAACATACAGATACAAAATATTTAACACACATAAAGACATCCTGAAGTATTTTTATAAAGAAAGATTGTGCTTTTTTTTTTCATATGTAACTATTGCACTTGCCTCCAGCTCGGGAAAGCCAAGTACACTGACACCAAGCAGATGAGAAGTTGAGTCACTGAGGAGGGAATCAAAGGAATGTCAATGTAAGTGCAAATAAACTGGGTGCTTTCAAGCACACACAAAGGTAACCACTAAATTATTAAGACCCAGATCTTTGACTTTCAAAATACAACTGTTAGAGACTAACTCTACAGAAATCCTTGAAAATAAAGATCTGAAGAGGGAAGTAACAGAATGTTCCTGGAGATCTTTCACAGCCCACTACAAGGCTACAGTTTTTCCCTGGACACCAGTAATACTGTTGGACCAGCACAGTTTCCCAAGTCACACCCATCCTCCATTCCTAAGCCTCTTCATTTTCAATACATAAACGATGCTGGTTTTACGCATCAAATCCAATCCACACCCTCACGTCTTATAAAGACCTATCAAGCCTAACAAAATGGTTCAGCACAGCCCTTCCTAGGCTCATCAGGAGGAGTGACACTCCAGAAGCTAGCACTCGATCTGCGAGCGCGGCATTCTCCGCAAGCTCAGGGAGTGCCGGTGGATCTCCTGCATCTGCCTTTCCTGCATCTGCCTTATTCTATCTTTCTGCCACATCAGATTTTGGGGCATGGGGTATCTTTGCGTTCCTTGCAGGCATCTGAAGGGGATCCTCACGTGGCAGGCTGTCGCCCTGCAGCGTGGCTGAGGCATGGGGGGCAGCAGCATCCAGCGCTTCCTCTCGGCGCAGTAGCGATAGGCCTCCTTGCGGTACTGCTTGTCGATGTCGTCGCTGTTCTTCCAGCCCCCGATGATGAACACGTCGTCTTTGTAATAGCAGATGGCTGCTCCTTCAATGCTGAGCACCTCCGGGGGCAAGCTCTCAAGTATTTCATCGGAGGCCCTGCTGGAGATCTTCATCTTGGCTTCCTCGTTATTGATGGGGTAGCTCTTGGGGCAGCACGAGGCCGTGTGGTAGAAGTTGGTGCTGGCGACAGACATCTGGAAGGAGCAGTAGTTATCGATGAGGGGCAGGGACTCCACGTCCTGCCACTGCCTCGTCTCCGCATCGAACCTGATGATAACTGCCCTCAGCCCATCCTCGCTGTCGCTGTCGACGGGGGTGCGGGCAGCGATGTACACAAACCTGTCCTCGACAGAAACAGCCTTCACATCGCGAAGGATCTTCGGTGCCGACTCCAGGGTGAGCCACTTGTCCTGCTCGGGATTGTAAATGGCCACATCTTTAAAGCCAGGACTAAAATTGCCGTGTCCACCAATGCTGTACAAGTTTCCTTTGACTTCGGTAAGGCCAAAAGAATGCTTCCTGGTGATTAGATTTGAGACCTGCTCCCAGATATTTCTGTTTGGATTGTACCTTTCTACAGTCTTAGCAAACCCTGGTTCCATGGAGCCAGCCACGTAAATGTAAGACTCCGTCACGGCGACAGCGTGCCCGTCGAGGTGGTTGTGGATGTGTGGCAAGTTTACCCACCTGTCCTCATCGATGAAGTACCCTACGCACTCGCTCAGGTAATCACCCCCCTCCGACACCCCACCGACCACCATAATCACATCCATGTTTTGTCCCAGACGTGGCAACAACGCCACAGGACAAGTGGAATGTTGTAGGTTACCCGACTGCAAGTTCTCAGCCCGCAAGGCGTGACTCTCCACGGCTTCAGACACTAATTTAACACAGGCTTCGTTGCTCGACACCAGCCGTTCAGATTTGACGTGGCGAGTAAGGTAAGTGGGTTTCATCTGAGACAATCTAAGCAGTTTAAAGAGATCTTCAAAGTACTTCTCTCTGTCTTCAGGATTTTTCTGAACCCACTTCAAAACCGTCTCAAAGAGGACTTCTTCAGAGTCCACGGTGATCTCCGAGTCCGAGAGCCAGTCTCTGACCAGATGAAAGGGCAAAGTGTAGAACTCCTCATCTTGGATAACTTTGTGGAAGTTTCTCCTGATCATATCCTGGGCTTTGAGGGCCAGGTGATTCAAGGAATACATGTGAGCTAAGCTGTGAACCGCGACGCAGTTGGACAGGTTGAGTTTCTTCTTCAGAAACTCTCCGCAGAACTCTTTTAACCGGGTCAGGAGGAACCTGTGGAACAAACGCACAGGGGTGACGCC